GTGCCAGGGGTGTATACTGTATAATCATTGCACACAACGAAAATGGCCACCACTGCCGCACTGCATCACGTAAAATTTAGAGGCAGGTTTAACGGGTTGTTGATTAGTTTACTACCAGATAAACTCTGTCAACCGAACGCATAAAATATAACGATGAGGTATGGCTGCACATTTCCTCTCTGCAAGACTGTTGGCCATTTGAAAGACAATCTACTGGAATTTTGAGTGCTAAAATTTTTAGAGAGAATCAGAGTTTCAGAAGTTGATACTCCATCTGGTTTGCTGTTTCGTCGTTTAGCAATTAATAATGCAGCCATTCACTGCATGTCATTGAATGGCATGTAAATAAGTACTATTTTGGGCCTATGACTGGAGTAATCTTCAGAACAAGCCACTCTCCTGGCTAGCTAAGTCATTTTACCTTGCTAACATAACTACAGAAAATTATATAGAATCTCAGAATTATTATTTGAGTATAGCAGGGTGATGTAGTGGTTGAAAATACTGCCCCACAGTGAGAAGGCTGCTCGTTCGAATCTGGACCGCAGTTTTCTGTGTGGAGTTAGCATATTCTCTCCTTGTTCAAGAGGATTTCCTGTTCTTGCTCTGGTTTCCTCTCACAGTCCAAAGACATGCATGTTAAGCTAACTGGGGACTCTAAATTACCTTTAGATATAAGTGCGCTTGAGTGATGTTTAAATGTACACGCCCTGCAAATGCACATACCCTGCAAACAACTGGAAAACTGTCCAGGGTGTGTCGTTGCCTCTCTCCTGTGGGAGGTTGAGATCAGCTCCAGCCTCTTTGTGGTCATGACCAAGAGTTAGTGGATAGACGGAGGAAATTATCCGAGGTTATTGCTGTTTTATTGACTACAGGTGTACAAAATGCCACTAAAAAGTTATGGCATTAGGGCTTGGCGCCAAAAAAGGTGGTAAAATTGTTCTGTATGCAAGAGTGACTTTTAAACATTGGGAACGGTCCATTTGACCGCAGCACTTTCCAACGGTCATATAGTCTCATAGAAGCACTCGAGGTGACTTTTAAACAGCTTGGCTCCCTTTAAAAAGAGATCACTCCATGATAAAGGCACAGCAGGCTTTTGACGAGGACAATGGAATGTTCGAGTCACAATTTCTGTGTCCACGGGGGCATCCAGGTCCTGTCGAGACCACGATTCAAGCTGTGAGCGACCCATCTGTGCAGATATGCACTGTGTACAACAGGCGCGGGAGAAAAGAGGTCATAAAATAAAAATAACAAAACCCATGTTCTGCGTATGTATTAAACCTTAAAGTTCTTAATTTTTACTCACGCTTTCCCTCCAAAAGTTAATCAATCATTATTTATTTGACAAAAGACCTTCAGATCTTCACAGGTACCCGTGACTATAGCAGTGATTAGCACTTTACGGGTTAATACAGACGGTGGTCAAAATTGTGATTTTTGCTAAATTGAGTCAATCCACCCCATCTGCAAGGCACATGGATATAACAAAGGTTTTTTTTTTTTTTTTTCCTTTTTACACTTCATGGTGTGGGGTGTGTGTGCGCGGGCGCGTGTGTGTGTGTGTGTGTGGGGGGGGGGGGGCAGGCATGTGTTTAAATGCTGGAGCTCTTTTTGTGCAACCAGTTAACAAAGCACGTGTTCCTTCAACTTTAACCCTTAGCTTCAAGATAAGTGGCTCTCATAATTACTGTTTTCCTCATTCAGGTTACCAGGGCATTACCTAAATGAGTAGCATCATGTTGCCGTTTGCATGCTCATTACATCAGGCTTGAATGAGGCCTGAACACATCCTTTGAATGGTCTTGAGAGTTTGTGCGCTTGGCAGCTCTGTGATCTGCTCTCGTAAAGCTCGTTACCTGTCTTGTAATTTGCCGGCATGTATCCCAAGTCTTGCAATGTCAGCTTCATGGGTTCTATGTCCTCAACTTCTGTGAGTGCAACTTTACCTCAGCCACCACAGAGTAAAAATCAAGCAAGCTGCTTCATCTTAGTGCTCTTTTTTTTTTTTAATATCCTGCTGCCACACCCCCCTGCCACCCCGGCCTTGGAGGACAACTTTATTAATTCAGTCAGCTATATAATTGTGTACGAGTCCTCCTACATCACCCAACAAAACAAAACACACACAAATAATTAAATAAATGAAGGAATAAAAATAGAAATACAATACAATAACAATTACATTCACAATGCTTTTCTACCTTTTGCATTAGTCGTTATTAGCTCACCTATTCCATCCCTCATAATTCCCGACCTTCAGCCTCCCTTACTATATCCCATCTTTTGGCATAAATTTCAAGTCCTGTCTCATGGGCCATCACACTCAATTCTATTGTAATACTTCACAAAATTTTTAATTTCTCAATTCTTAATGCCTCCACAGATGTCAACCCAAAAATAAATATTTTTGCTAAATATATAATTATATTACAGATTAGGTGTGTTCCTTTTGTTACATCACCCAGTAACACTTTAAATAAATCTAATTGTATACTATTGTATTGAGGTATCCAGCCTTGTACCTTTATCCAAAATAAGGCTATTATTGGACAGTACCAAAATAAATGGTCCACTGACTCCACTTCCTCCTGACAGAATTGACAAAGGGGTGATGACTCTATTCCCCATATATTTAGCATCTTTTTAGTTGCTAAAAACTTATATATTAACTTATATTGAAAATATCTAATCTTTGGATCAAGTGATGTACTGTAAAGGCTTTTGAAAACTTGGTTCATGGGACTGGTGTATCTAACATATTTTCCCAACTGTCTAGAATCCTGTATGGTACAGCGACTAAGTTCTTTATTCTTCAATAAAATGTGTATATATGTTTGTTGATCTTTATTCTATTTAACCAATTTGCCATTTTCATATGTGGCCTACAGACTAAATGCCTTCCTGTTCCTTTAATAATTTTTGACTTCCAGGCACTTGGTAAAGCTCCAATAAGTTGATTATATTGTTGCAATGTACAGACTGTTCCATAAAAACTAGTTAATTGTTTGTGAGACGTGAGTTTATTATCCTCATTCATCTTAGTGCTCTTTCCAAAATAGTATCTCTCTGCATAATACTGTAGCTGTCTTCCAGTCCAGTTGCAGGAAATACATAATAAATGGTTACAAAAACAGGTAAAAATCCTTGTAGTTCAGCGTAGTCCCAAGACATTCCGCATTAAGAATAAGAAACATACATATTCTAAACACAATCTTACCCTGAGTATCTGAACCAGTTTGTTTATAAACATACAGTATAATTTGTTTACGCAGCAGAACATTTTACCAAAGAAATTAATGTTAAATACCTCGGGGGGGGGCACAGTGTCCCACCCAGGAATAAAGTCTGTTTTCCAGGCCCAGTCCCTGATAGTTTAACCTCACAGCTGCATTTTCGGAGATTAAACGATACCAGCCACACCCAGGTCATGGAGACGCGCAGCAGGAGTGCTGATTTTGCATGCGAAACAACTGGTGCGAATATGGCCTGTTTCTGTTTGCTATTGAGCTTGATTGATTTAACTCAAAATTTTCCAAGCTGAAATGTGTATAAAATATGGAACCACCTTTCATCTATAAATAAAGAGATATATTTATGTCTACACATCAAAGCACTTAACTGTTTCAATTAGTGTATAGTGTACACAGTGCATCAACAAGCAGGGAGTGAGTAGCCTCTTTTTCTAATTGAAGAGGATAAAACAGCGAATCAGAAGATTAAGCGGGTGTGCTCATCTATGCTGGTCCCAAAAAAAAGAGTTATTATGAGATATTTAACATATTATTCCACGTTAACTTGCATGTCAACAATCTCTAAGCAGAATTGTATGCAAGGAAACAATATTTTGGCATTTTTAAGCTTACTCAAGCTCAAATTCAGATGTAGATGTATTTCTTTTTACAAATAATAATGGATGAATTGATGTGGATTGAACCACTGCCGCTGTATGTCTAATCCGAATGTCAAAGGGTATTTATAATTGTCAAATTGTGAGATTTTTTATTTAACCTGAGCCTGACTACTGTGGCTCTCAGGAGGACTTCTCTCAGTGACTGTGTTTACAAGGTCTTTAGTATCCCGGTTTTGATTGGGTTTTTTAAGTATCTCGTTTTTGTGTTTGTGCATGTAAACACCATATCCCGAATTCAGAAACCAGGTTATGCCCTTATCCCGGTTTCAGGAAACCCGGTTTTGCCACCTGGAGTACTCCAATAGAAGCCGGGATACTGGAGCATGTATACGCCTTATCCCGGTCTCTGACGGCTGCCCACCGTGTGCGCAGGTGCCATAGTGACGCAGCAGATAGGATGCAGTGATCAGAAAACGGGTTACTGGTATTTATCATGTATACAGGGATATGAAAAACTGGGTTTCTCTTTTTTCTTTGTGTTCCATGTAAACATCTTATCCCGGATATGCTCAAAGCTGGGATAAGCCTCAAAACCGGGAAACTAAAGACCTTGTAAACACAGTCAGTTATAGCTGTTTGAGAGGAAGACAATAGTTTTTTTTTTCATTTCAGTGGATAAAAATGGTAAAAAAAAAAAAAAAGGAAAAATTCATGTAGCATCCATTTGATTGTGCTTTTTTTTTTTTTCTAATAAATTTGGCATCTCCAATCCCACCCGAATCTGGAATGCCCAATAGGTGAACTATGTACAAGGCTTGCTCGTATGTGACCCGTTGCTGCCAATTCAGGAGAGTGTAGACAGTTCGCGGCTCTCCTCCGAAGTACGCGCCTGTCAGCCACTGCTTCTTATACACTCATTGGTTGAATCTTCGCAAGTTCAGAACAAGGGCGGAGGATACCCGGACATGAACAGACTTAGAATCTTCCTGAGGAGCGCCCGTCTGGCCAACAGGAGGTGCTTGAGCAACGAACAAGGCAACTATTATTTTCCCTTCCCGGCAGTCCCTTCCCAATTTGCAACCCTGTAGCGCTATAGCCAATTGTGCGCTACTCTGAAAAAGCTGGCGACCACTGCCGGCTGGTACGAAGCAGGGATCGAACCTGCGACGTGATAGTCAATTTCTGCTTCGCAACTTGATGCTTTACCGAGTGAGCTATCCAGCAGCCTGAATGTGCTTTTTAAAACTTCTCTTGCATTATTAAGATGGAAATGAATACAAAACATACCCCAGAGGCAAACCAAAACTGCACCAATTAGTCTGTCTCTGAAAAAGAATCACAAAACATGTATGGAATCATTTATTTGACTCAAAACAAAATACATTTCCCCATTATGGAACAGAAGAACAGATGATGTTTATATGATACATTATGACTTATAAATGCAATTCAGCGTTTTCTATTCAAAGAAAATATTTACAAGCCAGTGCAAGTGGATGTATTAAAATAACAAGCAGTTTTTACGGCAGCATAATTATGAGATCAGTGAGAATAAGAACAGTGTTGTTTTCAAAAGCTGTGTTTGACTTTAACATGCCCCGAAATTGACCCTTGTGGCACCCCTCTGTCCCCTTGGTTATGTCAGGTCATCTCTCATGCTTTAATAGGATGGAAGGAACCAGGTCCGTAGCACAATGTTCCTCTGTTTGGTCAGGGCCATGAAATATATACCCTGACACTCTCAATGAAGCTTAAAAGTGCCTCTTCACTTAAATGGTTTTGACTGCATGACCCAGTCAGACAGCATGTGACCAAGCACAGCGGCTACACCCTGCATGGTTTCTTATACCAATTGTTAAACCGGGCACACTACAAGCAGAGATCATTGTGCCAAAAGACGATTAAGGTCAATAAAATTCTAGGCTTGAATAGACTGCTGGATAATGGGGTTGTGACTCATTGCCGTGAATTTGAGAGAATCTTGAGCATGACCAATGCGCATCAACGCAGCACAGTTGTTTTGCTGTGATGCATACAATCTCTCTTTCAAACTTGTGGATTTTTCACAGACTGCTCCACCGGTGGGTTGTATCAGCACAAAACAAAATAATGTCGCTCTTTTTTGCTCTTGCAGTGCAATTCCTTGAAATTTCTGGTATCTGGTATGTGGATTATCTCCCTTCCGGCAATTCCACGGAACAGATTTACTTTTCTACTGCTGGACCATGCTCGCTCCCAGACTGCCAAAATCCCAGGGATAACTGCCAGATTGCTTGAAAAACTGACTGACCTACTTGTGAAAATGTGCGCACCCAAAGCCACCTCAGCGAAGAGCACGGAGGAGTCAGCAGATGCCTTGCATTTAGAAGATGCTGCAATCACAAGCTCATCTGTTTTGTGGTCCAAGTGTTTCCTGACACATTCCTTGTGTGTGAGGCATATCTCACCATCCCAGCGCTTGCGAGTCACGACCCAGGGAGTCGATCACCGAGGCTCACGCCTCTCCACACTGTACAGTGATCCTTGATCAAAGAGCCTAGCTTTTCCCCTACTGGCACAAGAGCAATTGCTTCCAGGTATAATTCTGCAGCTGGTGATGTATCACTGACTCTGGCAGACTTACGAGCCGTTCATGTACACACAGGACATGTCATCACGAGGCAAAGCCCATCCACATCACCTCCGAACACCACAGGGCCCCGTTCCATCAGCAAGCGCTGTGCAGGTTCAACGAGTCGATGGGCTTCTTCTGATCAAAGCTTGCGTGACAACACTGCGTTAAAATACAGATAAATTCCACACACCGGGTCGCACAATTTTTGAGGCTCTGTTTGTGCACCAAGACAATTTTTTTTTTTTTTTTCCATTATTGTAATGTACAGTGTCAGATTAACGATTTAGCTGTTGATATTCAAGGAAGTATGTTGTTCAGTATTGGGGAAAGACTTAACTTTTACTGGTTAAAAAAATATATATTCCAGTATTTTTTTAATTAGGTGAAATTGTCATTCTCTACCTGTACAACCTGTCGGTGATCATCCCCTGCCACAAAGTGCGACGGGGGATATTGGATTGGGGGCCATCCGTACGACCGTGTGTGTGTCCATCCGGGCCACAATGGGGACAAGATTTCTCTGAAACTATTATACCTACACGCGTGAAACTTTGTCTGCTTAATAAGCTACTAATTACCTGCCATGATGTCGAAGCATATTTTTTTACTGAGTTATGGCCCTTGATCGTGGCCGGGGATAGTGATGACACTGTCCTCTTGTTCTGTTCAATTGCAGCCGCATGACATGATTCCTTAAAATGTGAGCATGTATTGTGTGAAGGAATCTAAAAAATCTTCGATATTTAATCATTAGAAATAGTCACACAGAACTGCCAAACCTCCTTCCTTCTAGAAATTGTTCTCTTTTCGGAATCATAATGGTTTGGTGGCCAATACTGAAGCTTTAAATGAGACAAAGTAACTGGTTTAATCGTTTATTTTCAGTTCAGCAGTGGAAATCAGGGGTGGAAGTGCTGGGTAGTTTCTGCTGGTATTATCTGCAGGAACAGTAAAATAAACCCTGGTCACAGAGGCATTTGCGTGGCCCAGGGAGACAGAGTGGAAAACTTAAGCAGCGGTTTATCTGGTTCAGCTCAGCAGATGGAGCGAGTTTACTTCCTCTCTCACAAGAGATCCAACAAGTGTAAAAGAGAGGCGTTTCAGAGAGACACAAATATTCATCACAATGAGATAATGCTTTGGTTATTTGGTTATTTATGTGAAATATCCATCATTACAGCGGTTGCTAAGAGCCAGCATTAAAGGTTTTGTATGGTCTCCTTTAAACTCCATTTGTTAGTCAGATGGGAATGGAGACTCATTCAGTAGATAAATCCCCTTTGCCAGGTGCTTGAGAGAGAGAGAGAGAGAGAGAGAGAGAGAGAGAGAGAGAGAGAGACAGAGAGAGAGATGGAGAGAGAGAGAGAGAGTATATGTGTGGGAGGGGTTGTGCAGAAATGTTTGGCTGGCTGTGCCTGTTGTGCTGCTATATCTCTCCCTGTGTCGCACTGCAGTCCTCCACTTCCCTAAAAATCTGCCTATCACTCACGCACTCGCCCTCTCGTTCTCTCACTCTCTCCAGACTTTTCCAGAGGACCCTCGTCTAACACCAACAGCTGACATCCTCTCCAATAGAAATAGCGCTAATTGCACCGAGGTCTGAGACTTGGGTCACGTTCTTCGTCTAAGATAACGATCAGCATGTTACATCCGAGAGCCGCTAAAAAGCCATAGGGAGGGTGACAGGACAAACATGGTAATAACAATAACGGAGATACAATACTGAAAATATTTTAAAGGCAGGATAGGATTAAGATACAGACAGCCAAGATGAAAATAGTTATGGCAAAATGGTGAGTAACAAAGAAAAAAAATTAGGGTCGGGCATGCTAGAGTAAGATACCAAAAGGAGAGGTAAAGCTATGATCTGAACTGTGCCTGAGAAGCTTAGACTCACCATTTCCTCACTCAATTTCATTGCTGAAAACTGCTGAAGAGATTGACATATATGCCCCCAAAGAAAATGCTTAAAAATAACTTAAAATTCACTGACTCGGCTTCATTTACACCTCCAAGAGACCCAGGAAGCCAGTCTTCTTCAAATGCATTACAAAAAGAGATTCCATAGCAGCTGTCACATACCAAAAACACTGAACAGGAATGTTTGCCGTTCCTATGCATAAACCATTTCCCAAACAAAGAAAGCAATAGTTGGATACACAACAATTTTTCACCATTAATTATATTCTCTGCTAGATAACGGCTGGCTGCGAAGCGTAGGGGGTTGTCGAAACACTGCTTGCTGGCCGGAGAGCCAAGCGGTCTCAGACGATGTGCTGATTCTCTCATAGAGAGCAAAGCCACTGTTCGTCAAATAGGCATGGCCTTTTCGGTGTGCCGTGCTAACGACTGCCAGCTAACAGCCGGCCATTCAAAACACGTGGCTTGTTGATCAGGGACGGCGTAATATTCGCATCACACCATCAGAAGGACTGAGTGACGGGTCCACTTGCATAGAAGCCACATGAAATACTTTCCTTGACTCCTGTTAAGGGTGCAGTGTCTGACGACTGACTTCCTGTCTGTTCCACATCCGCCGCTGTGTTCTGTACCCTGTCTCATCACCACAGAGGGAGAGAAAGCGTAACCACGGTCACCACTGTCGAATAACCATGCTTCCAACCACCAAGCCCCTCAAAGCTTCTCTGTGGTATTTCTGAGCTGTTTTCACAATATAATATGATTTTGTGTCCCTATATCCTCTAAAGCAAGCCATTACAGACGACAGTGAGGGGGTCGCGAGACACGATTGAGAGCTTTCTGCTCCTGAAAATCGTCATTTAATTTTTGTGTTGCATTTCACATATATAATAGGCCTTACACTAATGCAACACCCAGTGTGTAATTACATGTATATAGAGCAATTTCAGATCAATTACCAATAGCAATCACTCCATTAGCACTGTCACTCTGTAGGTTGAATCACTTGAATGTTTAGTGCAATAAAGCCAGAAATTCCACACAAATGTCCGAATTTCAACAGCAAATTAAGTTCACTGCGTGGGCTATACATGCCATAGAAATGCTCAATAATACAATGTCCTTGGACGCAGGTATACTGAATCTCTGAATCACCGAGCTGAAAGAAAACAAAAGATTAAAAAATGCAGACAAAAGAAATAGCCTCTTTATAGTGGAGAAACAGTGCCACCTTGTGGATACAGATATCATCACCCCTCCAAGGTACATGAAAATTCTAATCAATGCCTTCAATACAAAGCAATAACAATATTTCAAAGTACATTGTTATTCCACAACGTCAAACAAGCATGTTGATTTTCAAAATAAAAGTCTACAGAAAATCTCCTTCGAGGCTGTGAAGGCTCTTCTGAGTGAGTGCTGAACATTTTTTTTCCCTTGCCTGTACAGGTCAAGTGTCAGACCAGGAGATACCGGAGGGTTTTCCTTCATTCCCAGAAAACTGACCACACCCTCTACAAATTATCAGGCAGCAATTAAACCAATCAAGTCATTTGTGATTGAGCGACGCCTCGTTCCGCTGTTTTTTAATAAGTGGAAAACTAACATTTGGGGGCTCGCGTGCCATGAATTGTCTTGATATAAGTAGGTGCCACAGATTCCTAACTCTCGCATTAATCCAAAGTGTCTA